TTATATCGGCGCAGCGAGAAGAAATTTACAAGACAACATGAAGAACATCATGTCAAGACCTCTACATCTCAAGGGGAGCACGAATTGCAATCGACGGCTTGGATGTAACTGGTCGATTTGGAATTTGTAAATCTCATAGTCCTTCTATCCCATACACAGAAGCAAATGAAGGTTAAGACAGTCAGTGTAGCTGCAGGAGGCCTTTATCTGTAGCTCTTCTAGGATTGCTGCCGGTTTTAAGCCCGAATGAAATGGGAGTGTTTGGCATGGCATCAGCAAACCCATCTCGTAGTAAACAACCTTGTCAACAAATCCTAACCAGAATAAACAATTTGAACTCTGTCCTGGGAGTTCAAGGATCTTCATTTACATTAATTATGGCGCCTATAGTGAAAGTCAAGAATCTTCGGAAATCACGATGTCGAAGCCCATTCTACCAAGCAGAGCAAGAAGTAGTATATTTGTATACCGTCGGATAAATGTGATTGTTTTAGACATCGATGTGAAATATCAACCATGAATAGCATAACAGCTGTTCGGAATAACGATGCAATAAAGTTTATTTAGATTTAATTAAACTGATGCATAGTAAATATTATAAGAGAAAGAGAAAATCGGTGAACACAAAATCAAGAAACTCAAATTATTCCTTTTTTTAATTAACAAATCGCTAAGTCATAAATATTGACCTATTTGTTCTAATCAATACTGATAGTTTAAGAGAAAAAAAACAAACAAACAATTCTCTCTATGTATTAGTACTCTAACCAATATCTTTGATTTGTATTAGAATTAGAGAAACAAACTACAAAAAAAATTATTATTCACTAATACTTTTAGATTAATTGATTAATTTAATCATATCACCATAAAATAAGGTTTAAACTATCAATAGTTAAGTTGTTGTGTTTTTTTTAATTGTTAGTACGTATGTTTACTTGTGAGGTCTACTTGTTTATCATGTTCTCTATGGTTGTTGGTTAAACACTTTGATAAACTTATATGATACTTCTATGAATCATTTTATGTTTCATATGTTTAAGTAATATGAATTATGTATGCATCTATCCATTTGGTTACTTTAAAGGTCTGTCAAATCTAATCGCTTCTGTGATTGTAGTACTTTCCAGTTCATAAGTAACATGTTTCGAAGTATGGATAGTGTATACCTAATATATAAACAAGATATTATCAGACCTAACCAGTACGTGCTTTAATAGTCACGACTGGTCCAGAGTTAATGACAGAGAATACAAAAACCTTGCTCAAATGTGTTAGATAATAAAATTACAATTAAGCGCATAACACGCTACTAATAAATCATTATTATATAAAAGTATTACACTGTGACCGATATATTTCATTCATGTTGGAAGTGGAACAGGTATTGCCACGAGTATAAATCAATGGTTAACAAAAACCAGTGATTGAAGCTGGAAGTATAGACCATTTAGATTGGATTAATAAAACTAAAGGTATAATGTTCATCATGAAACCTGTTAAGTAGTGACTCTTTACTCTTCAACGAAGAAGACAAGCTATACAACACATCTTCACATATCATTCTTGCCTGTTTGTGTGACCCAATAACAGAACTGAATTGTGTTTTCTTTTCATATGACACTTTTGAACTTTAAAGGAATCGTGTATATACCATTATTGTTGCTACTAATATATTCACTGCGATAATATACATTAAGGTTTATGATGAGATAAAAGAAAAAGTGTTTCAGACTAGAATAGAAATAAAAATAAGAGAGCATCTCTGAATGCATAAAAAACAAAAATCCAATGACTAAGTGACTAATTTCAAGCTATCCGTTGTAAAATCAATCAGAAACGTTTTAGTGATTGCCTGTATGATGCCGATGCAAGAAGTAAAACTTCACAAACTATAACAAAATATAACGTACATATCTGTTTGTCTGACAAATAAATTGAAAATTAAAATGATCTTGTGTATAATGATAACCTTTTAGCAATCCAGACTTCATAGTCATAGAAACGTAGACAAACAAATTTGAAAACTGACTCTTTCAGTTTATTTAGTCCTAGTTTCATATGGTGAAATGAACTTCTATGATGATTAGGAATATTTGAATTATAGTACGAACTAAGAATCCCAGAAATAACGTAATCGGATCGAGAAGTACTACATAAGTATGAACGAATGTTCTGTATTTGGAATTCAAAATCAAGCATTCAACAAGTACGAAGGAATCATTATTTCATTCAAACACCACAACTTGCCACCCACGTCAAAGAACTACTGAGTCATTCAGTTTTACACGTACCGATGTTTACTGATTCAGCAAAACAATAGATATTTTTTCAACTTACCATATCTTAACCTATTTTATTCAATGTTCCATGTGTATACATTTTAAGGAATTCTCAATAGAAATTATGATACATTCCAAAAACTTCATTGTTATTATGGATTATATCTGTTAATATTCAAAAAGCCAACTAGAATTTGCTACAACAGCGGTTATCTGATGTTTACTTTCAACCACAGAGATGTTTAATTAGACTTATCATTGAAACATGTTTACATTTCCCTTTGTGAGACCACTTCTAGATGTATTTGTAATTTGACCGTATTTATGGTGGCAAGTAAATGGGAATAACTGCAAAAATGTATTGAAGTATCTCAATATAATGGTCACTAATTGCGTAAAAGTAATCAACAGAAAACATTTCCGGTCAGTTTTCAGATCAAAATTAGTTTTAAACAAAGATGGTTGTAGAGAAATCTATATAAACTGCTTTAATAAATTAAATGTGATTTTGTTGCATTTAATATAACAATAGATTGTAAAAGATTTATAAATTTATATAAGCAAAATAGCATTAAACGAACATAATTAATTTCGATAGATAAAATGTTAGATTATCTACTTACTTAGTTTTTTCTGTTATCCTTCATTGGAGAATCATAAATCACCAACCGGGATTCTTGAATCAACTTTGTCTTGTTCCCTCCTTCCCAGTTATTTCCACTTGCTATTCTTTTTTTAATGTTTGTCTCCGATTCTTAACGCAGTATATTCTTTGGTATTCCTATTTTCCCTGTTTCCTTAAGGACTCCTGGCTAATGTTTGTCACTGAAAGACCTTCTCAACCCTAGAATAAATGACTTTACATGTAACTGTTAATGTTCTTGTTGAATCACTTATCAGTTTTTTGTCTCACCTGAACATAACAATAAACCTCGATCTATGGATACATTCAAACGAAGGTTGAAGATAGACCACCATCACATATATCGTGAATTCATACTGATGATGCTTATCGGTTTTGTGTTCAGCTGAGATCTTGCTAGTATTCATCTATGGGTCAATTAACAGTTGATAATTGTTGAAACAGAGGATATAATTCGTCAACTTCCATTCAAAAGCTAGTATTACCAATTCTATCGGCAATTTACCGTTGATATAATCTCTGTTTTCAAACCCACAGCACACATTCTCTGCTTTGTCTATAGAAATATGTCATTGTTGTACTAATAGAGGATTGAGAGGTGTGAAATTTCTAGCGCTCACGGTAATTTAGGTCTTGGCCTACCGAAACATTTGTACTTCATAATTGGCAGAATAAAAACCTGCAGATGTTCGTTTCTTAAAGCATGCCAGAAGTGTGTGCTGACATGAATATCTACAATCACTTAAATTTACCAAGTAGAGCAATCCTTGATTCATCGTGAACACCAAATCAGTAGTGTTGTATTTCATGTACACACCGTTTATCTTAAATTTCAGCATTGCTTTCCACTTAATAGATGGAGTTATCTGTTCAAGTAGTATTAGCTTAGATGTTTTTATTTATAGCAGCCAGTCACAGATATGCGATGTTCTTAGCTTTTACTGGAAAATTTCGTGTCATTCGATCTGTGTACATCCAACATGTGTTTGTGAAAGAAATCACTTCACTGCATATATAATTTTAATTGACGTTTCTTGACTCGTCACGATTAGTCGTGCTGTTTTCAAGTGTTATTATGTAGTGTTTGTATGAGTTAATGGTTACTTTGTTCTTGATGACTGTCTGATTTCGAATTCCAAATGCATTTAAGCCAATCTTGTTGTCTTTGGATCTCGAATCAACCACGAACCTACACACGTATTCTGTTATTGCGTATCCATCTTGTTATACAATCACTTGGAACAGGAACGTAGACTCGAGATATCACTTGAGATTTACAGCTCTTATTCCTAATCCATGAGGTTTACATTTTTGGACTAATATGTGTTTGAAAACAACAAACGTTAAGTAAAATTTAGTATCATTTAACGCGCTACATCTTATATGCATACAGTGGGTCTGAGTAGTCTAACAGACATAAAATCATGTTTCTCCTACATGTTGGAGGTCATTTAACGAACTTTCCACACAGCTCATGAACGATCTGCTTATTACGATACGTCTAAACTCATCAGTCTGGTTGAACAGCGTATTCTTCGAAAATGAAACACAAGAAATTGCATCGGGTTGGTACCTAACAAAACAAACAAGTTCTTGTTGAAGAATGCTTATAATAATTGCAGGACAAGAGGTACTATTAGTATCAATGGGAGATGACGCCAGTTCCAAACTCACTGAATGTCAGATATTTTATATATGCTCACGAATAGAAAAATGCGCTACAGATGATCCATCTCTAATTCGTTTGCGATTATTCTTATGTTTGATCCACTTCTGGAAAGCACAACAAACTCTAGATGCTCTAAGAAAACCAAAGAGATTTCACCCAATCAGGACCTGATATACCTTTCTATAATATCAAAGTAGCACGCTATGACTGGATTGTAGTGACTCACGTTTATCACGAGAACACGACCGGTTTAATAAAAACAATTATTATTATAACCAACTGTACCAGTGTTTGTTTTAACGTGTTTTTGTTTGACTGTGCTAATGACAGCTATTTTGTTCTTCCATTCTTATACTTACACTTTGATTGTAACTTCGCGCGAATTCGGTTACGTTCTGTAACCAAGCTTGTATCCTGGCACGATCTCGGTATCCTTTCGATGCCACGAGATCGCCAGCAAATAAACATCGACTTGGTCCATTAATTGCCTTCTGATATTTGGCTTCTCGGGGATTTTATGGAGTCATTTGGAACGAGCTTCTTACGCCTTCTGATCTTGGTAGCGGTGTTCATAGTTAATCTCAACTCGACGCCACGCTACAATTGGTAATCCCAATACGAATACAATTGGTAATCCCAATTCGACTACAATTGGTGACCCGTATTTTGGAACACGCCTCAGCTTCTGGTCAAATCTTCCAAAGAAGCCAATTCGGTGAGTCTATGATTTATCTATCCACGTCTGTCGTATATTTTCATATTTTTTAATATATAATATACGCGACATGACGGATAACGATAAGAATAGTATTAATATAATAGACTCACACGTATGTGTACCGAATCCTTGTCACTTTTTATTCGCGTGATGATGAATTCCACGCTCTATTCGAGAAATGTTACCCTATTAACGATTCTCCTCGCTGACCCGGCTGCTTGGTACGGAATGCATACGCATAAGCATATCCGTCTACCACCCAGCACCAAATGGTTAAGTTGAACGGTTTCATTGCCAACTTAAAAGTGCTCTACGAGCACACGAGAACGACAACTGGTACGAAACCTTATCGCTCGTCCTCTTAGGTATTCGAACGAGCTTGAAGGCAGATATACAATGTTCCGCCGCTGAAATGGTATACGGCACGACATTGCGTCTGCCCGGAGAATCCTTCACACCACGGAGCAGACCTAATTTCGGTAAATCAGACAACGTCCGTCGACTGTCTGCATTTATGTGAACGCTGTCTCCGGTGTCAACTCGAATACAACATCGACAGGTCGCTCTCCCTCGAGAGTTATCTACCTGTTCACATGTTTTTGTACGAGTAGATTCGGTACGCAAACCTTGGCAACAACCTTACGAAGGCCCTTTTCACGTGATCGCTCGTCACGAAAAGACCTTCAAGGTTGATCGACATGGACGCGTCGAGATCGTCAGCGTTGATCGTCTCAAACCAGCACACGTCGATGACAGTGCCCTATCTGGTAACCTGAGATTCAATGCTAGACCTATTAAACCTAGCGGGATCCTTAAATCTTCAGGTCCCACGCTAGATGCATCTGAGACCTCATTCTCACGTCCCGGTCAACAGCACGCGTCATCTGCACCGTCTACGGACGAGACGATAGTCTCACGTCCAGATCAGCAGACCACGCCGCCTCTGACCTCGGATGAGATTGCAGGCTCACGCGACGCGAACGAGACTGCCGTCTCACGTTCCGGTCGCCGAGTACGGTTACCCGTACGCTTCCGCGAATAGTCGCACAGTCAACAACCGATACGGTGTAGGATTATTCCTATGCTACACGCATGCTACACTCTTCTTTTTTGATTTTCTTTTTGTTTCCTGAGCCCACGCCTTCGACCATCGCCGTTTGGTTCCGTCGACTTCAGTCAACTTTGGCGAAAGCTGGATTGGCCACCCACGCTCTTGTCAACGTACTCAGTCGATATATTGGTTTCGTATGCTTGGCATACGCTTGGTCTCGAACTTGGTCGTTACGGTCGCTTCTGGTCTTTTGGCTCAACGTGGTCTCGTCCTTCGTCTGCAGCGTTTCTGGTGCGCACCCCTACGAACGCCCTCTTCAGATTCTGGATACAAACCACTCTGGTGTAGCATGCCAACTCGAGCAATCAATACAACACATCGCTCCTGGTACTGTTCTCCGAAAACGACCTTCGTTGGCAACTCGACGATCAACGATCGCTTTCCTGTTCGCCAATTCTTCCGTCCTACAATCGCTCGTCAGCCGATCAGTCCCACGATTCAAACCGCTTTTTATCGAAAGTGTAAACCCTTTCTAGCGGGGGGCTCCTGTAGTGACTCACGTTTATCACGAGAACACGACTGGTTTAATAAAAACAATTATTATTATAACCAACTGTACCAGTGTTTGTTTTAACGTGTTTTTGTTTGACTGTGCTAATGACAGCTATTTTGTTCTTCCATTCTTATACTTACACTTTGATTGTAACTTCGCGCGAATTCGGTTACGTTCTGTAACCAAGCTTGTATCCTGGCACGATCTCGGTATCCTTTCGATGCCACGAGATCGCCAGCAAATAAACATCGACTTGGTCCATTAATTGCCTTCTGATATTTGGCTTCTCGGGGATTTTATGGAGTCATTTGGAACGAGCTTCTTACGCCTTCTGATCTTGGTAGCGGTGTTCATAGTTAATCTCAACTCGACGCCACGCTACAATTGGTAATCCCAATACGAATACAATTGGTAATCCCAATTCGACTACAGGATAATTGTATAACTTTTTTACATGCAAATTGCCTGGATTATTAAAATGTTATAGCCCATACTGAAAACTGCAAATACCTTTGTATTTTCGCACTCCATAATCGCTTCTTTGCTTCTTCCGTCTTTGATTTGTGATAGTGAGGTGCTTCATACAGGACTGACGATAGCTGCATGCCTTTTTTGCCGTAATCAAGTAGAGAACATAACGTTTTATTTAGATTGTTTTCTTACTCGGCCTTAATAGATACTACAACAAACTGGAAAGCCTACAGCATTCAGAAAATGGTACACAGAAGCAGCAAATCCAAGGTTTATACTCATAATATACAGAAAACATGGTTTATTTCATGAATACAAGACAATACATTCATTTGTTCTCATCTTGTTCTAACTGCTTTACGTTGTGAAAATTTGGGGATTCTATGTTACCACAGTGATACGAATAATTATAATTATAACTCTGGCGTCGCGGTGGAGCCTATGGTTAAACAGTTGGATAAATATCCAAATTCTGAAGCTTTAGAAGATTACACGGAAAGGTTTGAAATTTAGAGTATGACCAAGAAATGCGTTAAGTATGATAGTATTGTGGCTCACTTACTCACGTTCATCGGAAAGGATGCCTAGAGACTAATAAATAACTTGGCATCTCCAGATAAGCATGTTTGACTTCCATAATCAACCCTCAAAGGATGACTACTAATTCATCTAAAGTGTACTAACTTTCAATACCGTAAAAGAGAAAAGGTGGTTAACAATTCATTCAGGAGTTAGAAAACAGGTTAAAGAGGCGAGCACATATCCGGTTAGTGTTTGTTCTGTTGTAAACTCCGCCTATGTAATTCAGGAGTCTTAAATCGTGCCAAGTGCTTTATGTGTGGTAAAGTGGGATACATCAAGTGGGCCTGAAAAGCTTCTGTTCGTTTTGACACTAGTGGTGTCAAAACATGTAGTCTGAATTTCATTAAGTTGGTTGTTTCTAATGTTCGTTTGTCTTTATCCACGGTCCCAAAAGGTAATTTCCATCTGTGGAAGCGATTATATACCTATCCTTGGTTCATTCCATGACTGCTCACGAGGTCTGATAACAAGACCCCTACAATATTTAGTGATTAAAGATTAAAACTGTACTCCCGTTTGTTGAAGCAAACGTACACTACGATGGTATTTGGAGGTAAGCTTCATCGACTTCATGGTTCCAAGTTGTTCTCGAAAGTTGACTTAATAGGTAATTATCTTCAAATCCCCTTCGACCAGTTTTCATCTTACATGACATTAATTGTTCACTTTTGTTTATCCAAATACAACTTCCTTCCATTTAGTTTAAGTTACTATCTATCTATATTTCAGGAAGTGACGAATAATGTAGTCCATGATCATACAGGTGTTAAGGTTTGTCAAGATAGTATTGTTATTGATGGTTCTGGTAAGGTGGCTTATGACTAGAGACTAAGTGCATTATCGTGTCGTTTAATTAAGAATGTTACGGTTTTCATTTTGTGGATCCAGTTTTGAATGTCTTAGATACCTAGTGGATGATAACGGTTTTAAACCAAATATAAAGCAACTAGCTCCACTGACAAATGCACCGTCCCCGGAAAATCCTCCGGATCTACGTTCACTAGTGAGTGCTCTTAAATATTACCCCACTTTTATTTCGTTTTTTTGTCTTGTTAATTGCTTATTTATAATCTTGACATTCAGTTAATTTAAGTGTAATGAGGAACAAGAATCATGCTTAAAAAGTCTAACAAAGTTTCTTCAAAGTTATGCTCTTATTTGAAGTTGCTCCAGTAGTTTACCGTCTATACTCATTATTGATGTAGCACGCGTGGATATGTTTGCAGATTCGGAGCAGGAAGGTAGACCGGTGATCTTCGTAATAAACATTTGGATATTGAGAAGATGAGATCCTTAGCAAGGCCGACATTTTGGTGCCTGAAGTTAAGTGCAAATATATGTCATACAGTGAATGGTTGTAGGAGATGTCATGGGCAGAAAAATTGCCCCACAAAGTAGAGCTCATGGACATTATCATCTAGGACTTTTCAGAAAATTCATATAGAGAATTGTGGTCAGTTCTCGGCAAATACTATGCACCTGTTGTCATTGATTGGAATTCCAAGTGACCTGGATTTTTGTCACAGCTCCACTAAATTTTGTCTTCATAATCCAAGCATAAAAATCATTTCTGGTTGGGAACAGGTCTGTTTGGTATTAGTGACTGACAACGGCTCTTATTTTGCTGCAGGCCGACTCACTAACTCGTTAGATGTTATACATGATCTTCGATCAGATAGAGGGATTGTGATGAAGAACGTTGAGAAATTTAAGCTTTGAATTGTATATATCAGTGATTTAAGCACACGAAACCGACATTTTGATCAAATCCAGTTCCAGGAACTAGGTAAGTCTGTTCCAACTCCCGTTGTTAACTCTGATAATAATGTGTACATTCTCAATAACTCAGAATCGATATCCAATACACAGCCGGACAGACACACGACTAACATAAGCAGGGGAAATATAATCGACCACAGAAATTCGGATTCCCACTTAAACTTTGGAGTTTGTGGCATCTGTATCAACTGATGAGTCCTTTGTAACTTGATTGCGTGCCAAGTACAAATTCCAGATATGATGCGTTCATTCGAGCATATTTAGTTTGTATAATGATGAAAGAAGGATTCCAAAAGTACGTTTTTAAGTGACTTCCGAGTCGTTGGGATAATTTTTATTGCACAAAATGTGTGATATTGTAAAGGAGTATGAAAACGTAGTTGATGGAGAGTGAAAAATACCATTTATAAACCTGCGAATGAAAATAAGTTTGAACTTCGTATGCCTGATCCGATCAAGTTCTACTTTGAAATGGTCAAACCTTGGTGATTATAATGACAATCATATATTCTCGTTAACCTTAATTTACTTAAACGTGAGGCTTTTCCTCATTTATTCATTAAAGTATTATTTTAGGACAAGTTGTAAACGTTGTGAACATACAGTGCAGTGTATATACAATTTCCAGTTGGAAGGTAGGCGAAGAGAGTCTTGTTTGAACAAGCGTCTGCAAATACTACCTCACCATTGTAGTGTGGCGTCGAGTCGCGGTTGACTGTGATCAACATTACTGGAAGACTATTTGCCAGTTAACCGATGAGATCCCCAGTAGGCTAGCTACCAGAAGGCAGTTGGTGGCTGTAGTTGAGGTGCATTTGTTGGCGATCACGTGGTATCGAAGGAATGTCTATTTAATGGCAGGTTACAAGTGGGGTTACTGAGCGTAACCGAATCCGTGCAAAGTCACAATCAACGGAAGAATGTATGTATTTTGGTACAGTTAAACAAACAAGTACAGTGAAACAATCCCTGGTACAACTGATTATAATAATAATTGTTTTCATTACACCGATCGCGTTCTCTTGATGAAAGTAGGTCACTATATTTATTTATTTATTTATTTGAACACATAAATATTGGTACAAGAGAGCGCCAATATATATGCGCCACACAAAACAATGGGAATTCGAAGAGAAGTAGAAAGAAAAAAAAAACTAAGGAACGCAAAAGAAAAAGAGAGTAATGACGAAGAGGTACAATCAGAAGAAATCTTTCAGGTAAAGGAGACACAACCACTTTTTATGAAGAAAGTAAAAGAAGGTTACAGCAGGATCGCCACTGGCTTCTATTCTGAGCCATATCTGATAACGTCTCTAGCCACTGTGTTGCACCATCTCTCGGACCCCAGCCAGGGAGTCGTGAAGGACCAACACAAGCCAGTCCTTTTCAGCTTTCTTTCATGCCACGACACCATGTCATGCACTGACCACCTCTCCGCTTCTTCCAACCAGTCCCAGAGTCGGCAAATAATGCACGACGTGGAATTCTCTGGGACGACATTCGGAGAACATGTCCAAGCCACCGAAGTCGGTGTTTCAAGATGGTCACACCAATTGAATTATCATCTCTGTACCCGAACACACGATGCCGAACCTCTGCATTACTGACATGGTGTTGCCACTGAATGTCAGCAATCCTTCGGAGACAGCGATGATCAAACACAGAGAGTCGTCTAACGTCCTCAACTCGGAGAGGCCAGGTTTCACAAGCATAGAGCAGAACTGCTCTCACCGACGAGTTGTAGATCCGGCCTTTTACAGCCAGACTAACATCACGAAGGCGCCAAAGGTGGCCCAGATTGGCATAAGCCGCTCTGGCTTTCACTATTCGTGCATTGATCTCATCACTCACACCCCCACCAGCACTTATGCAGCTACCCAGATACACGAACTTCTCGACTACTTCTATCTGCTCACCATCCAGGGTGAGTACAGGATTAGAATCCTGCCAGTCTTGTAGAAGTACTTTGCACTTCGAAGGTGCAAAGCACATACCATACCTACGGACATTGATTGCCAACTGATTAAGTGAGGATTGCATGCCTTGGGCATTATCGCACAGTAAGGCAATATCATCCGCATATTGAAGGTCGAGAAGTCTTTCTCCAGGCAACAGATCCACACCGCCATTACTTACATTCATCAGAGCTGTTTCCAGAATGTCATCGATGGCAAAGTTGGAGAGGAATGGTGAGATTGGGCAACCCTGCCTAACCCCACTGCTCGAATGGAACAATGGAGAGAGGTGGTTGTATGCCCTCACTCTGCCTGAGGTGTTTTTATACAGGGCTTTTAGGATGTTAATAAACTTCTCAGGCACACCCTTCTTCAATAGACAATCCCAGAGAACAGTCCTATCCAACGAATCGAAGGCGGCCCTGATGTCAAGAAACACTACGATTGTTGGCCTTTGATAAGTATGGCGGTGTTCTAACATTTGGCGGAGGGTGAAGATATGATCAAT